TTTTTTTTTTAATAGAGCAGTTTAATAATCACTTCAGATTTAGATATCTATCTAGTTGCATTTTACAGTGATTTCAAAAATGATAAAGAATTGATGGCAAAAGGTAACAAACTTTGCATGATAACTAACCACTAAGTCACGCCATCAAAGAGGGCACCTAACTCTATATATATGTGTGTGCATATATGTATATATATATATTTTTTGATGATTTTATAATTATTGATGAGGGGTAAATTTTTTTATATTAAAGTAACTTTCTCTTCTATCAATAATTTTAAAATATATAATTCATGTAAAATAAATTATAAAACAACCATATTTATATATATAGTGTGGGTCTCTTCATTGAATGATCCAATTTTGCAAGCTAATACTACTCACAACAAAAAAATATCAGACTCATTAAAAAAATAACTACCAATGCAATTCATAAAAAATAAAGAAAAAACTGTAAATGCTGTCCACAGGGCAAGCTGCACGGCTGGATCATGTGCACATGGACTATAATTTTGAGGGCCTTTCGATGTGAAGATTATACAAAAAACAAAAGAGAAATAACCCATTAATTTTTAATTTTGTACATTGGGATATGCTTATTTTCAATGGAAAACAATGAAACTCCTCTTTCATACCTAGAGGACATGAATCTTTCATACCTAGAGGACATGAATCTCCCGGTTGAAATGGATCTCTTCATTTTCCCATCAAACTGTTTCGAGGATCCTATTCCAGCCGATGATTGGGGATGATCCACTGGTATATCATCATCATCTTCTTCTTCGCTGATGCGTAATATGTCAGCAACGGAGAGTTGGCCTTGACATGGAGAAGAACTAAATGAAGCTGACCTTCTAAATGGTCTAATTTCAGTTGCATTCTCTGTGCCAATAGCAGCTTGAGCAGGCGTCTTGGGGACATTTTCAAAAGCACCAACAAGGCAAGCAACAAGCTCTTCTCGAACACCACTTTCGATATCTTGGATCACCAAAATGGCATCATTTTGATGTCGATACTGAAGAGCAGATGCATTGAAACCCGGGACAGTTTCCTGGATTAGAACCTGAGCTTGATTAGGCAAACCAGCGGATGAAGCAATATTGGCACGGCAGAGGGGGCAGCTAGAGTGAGACTTCAACCATGTATCTATACAAGGTACATGAAAGGCATGGTTGCATTTGGGCATAAGCTTCAGGCTCTCATCTTCCTCAAACTCACTCAAACAAACAGAGCAATCTGTTCCTTCCACCAACCCTTCACCTTTCCTGTACTTGCAAACTGTGATGGACTTCATCAGGGCTTCATCCAACCCAGCCGAAGCACCCTGCAAACCATTATTGCTCATTTCGTCTCGATTTTCATTCAACTCTGTGCTGGAATTATCATGCCCTCGCCGCCTGCAATACTTGGAGATGATTGTATAGTAACTTAGCAAGATGAAGGCACTGGCTAGGATGCCGATAACGGCTATAATTAGAGGGGAGAAATCTGTGCTGCTAGAGTCATCATTGAGGCCAGAAGGAGGGGGAGGAGGGAAAATGAGATAGCACCATTGTGGACAATATATGCTACAAATACCTTGTGCACAATCTCTATAGGCATCAAATGGAGGCCACGGATTTGGGGGGCTGCCAGCAGAACTCATGTTAAATTCAAACAGAGATCTGCTCTTTTTTCCTCTTGTTTATATATTTTGTTCATTACAAGACTAAAAGAAGGAAGGGAGAGGAGAAGAGGGCAGCGAAAATGACTGAAGAAAGAACACAGAGAGCAATATCCAAGAAAAGAGAAAGAGCTTAGAAGTGAAGGAAAGGGAAAAGAAGGGAGATGGGAGGTGAGCTGTCTCTCTCTACTTTTCTCTTCTTGTCTTCTACTTTATTCTACTTTTGGAGGGTCGAGCTTCTGGCTTCTCATGTCCTTTTGTTTTGTTTTTTCATTAAAATTTTTCTAATTTATACTGTATAATTAAGTAATATTAATTGAATAATCCACTCTCATTCACTAAAATAAATTTTAAATCAGAACCATTCACTTCCTCTGCATAATATGTTCGAGTCACATGAATCTTTTTTTTTTTTCCTAATTAATATTAATCCGCTCTGATTTACTAAAATAAACCTTAAATCAAAACCATTTACTTCTTCTGCGTAATATGTTTGAATCACATAAATCTCTTTTTTTTTCTTAATTAATATATGTAAATATTTTTAATTTGTTAAAAAAAATTAATTAATATTAATTTTTATATTTTGTTTATATAAATTTATAATAAAAGTTTATAAAATAAAAACTTATTTTGTTTTTTTTTAATAATTAAGGGTTTGAGATCAGATGATGGATTGTTGACTTACGGATCCGCTTTTCTTGGATCAAAGGGATTAATCAATTGCTTTAATCATGTACAAGCTTCCATTGGTTGGTGGGGTGTTGGTGAGTAAACTATATTTTTTTCCATTTCTGCATTTCTTGAGGAAGGACTCGGCCAATAAATTCCCCTCCTTTCACCATTTCAGATCCAAGAAACATGAGTTGTCCCCTACCGGGCTGAGGAGCAATGGTTAGCCCCCAAGCCTTAGGGTTTGGGTGAAGTGGAGGTTAAGGTTTCGAGCTCTGCCACCGCCGTGAATTTCACCAACTTGCGACTTAATGATCGCGCACCTCATATGAGGGGATGGAATGTTCACCATTCTGAGGAATTCTAGTTGCTAATAACTAGCTCTATTAACCTTTTAATCATTACTCTTGTCAAAAAAAAAAAAAAACATGAGTTGTCCGCTGTGGCGAAATTTCATTGGCAGAATATGGAGGTGGAGGGTACTCTCAACTTGTCACACATCATACAATATGTTTGTCCTGCTTTATGAAATAGGTGCAATTTGTTAGATGGAAGGGTAGCTCAAAGGAAGATAGAAGTAATACATCCTTCCAAATGATTATGAACCAACAGAAATTAAATGGTTAAAATATCAAAATAGTCCCTTAAATTTCATTGTTGTATCAAAATAGGCCTTGAACTTAAAAAGTATCAAAATACTAATCCTTTAACGTTAAATTTAGGTACCATTTTGGCCCATTTTTACGTTAATGGATGTTAACCGGCCATAATAGAGGCCGATCTGGCACGTTAGTCTGATGTGGACATTTTTTCCTTGTACAAGTGAGCCATTTTACCTTAGTTGCACAAATTGGCCACAAAAACAATTTTTATTTTGGAAAGTTATTTAGGGATAATTTTTATGTATAATTTTTTATATAACTTTATATATCATTTAATAATTAACTTTTTTATTTTATTAGAATTTGTCATATTATATATTTATTTAATGACATATAAAAATTATAAATAAAAATTATACAAAAAATTATCTTTATATCATTACTCATTTTTATTTAATTTAAAAATGATAACAAGGGAATAAATCATAAAAATTAGCTCTTAATTCTTTAGCTAGTATGGTCATATACTAATTAATTTACATAATTTTCAATTATTATTAAATTTTTTATCCAAAATTTATATTTAAAAAGCTAAAAAATCAAAATAAGATTATTAAATTTGATAGAGGGAGTAACATTTTATTTGTTTTCAAAAAAATTAATAGAAGATAAAATCTTAACCAATTAAAATAAACAGATAAAATCTTCACCAATTAAGATAAACAGATAAAATCTTCATAGAGTGCACATTACATGTAAAATAATATTATCACCTGACTCTTGGAGATCAGTGACAGCCTTAATGGCAACGGCAGGCGTTGAAGTGATGCTAACTTACTTGGACCTACGTTTTAATTTTTCCATGTAGTATTCTTCGTTTTAGCTTAAACTTTATTACTCGCGAAGATGATTTTGTCCATTGTTATGGATGATGCTCTTGCCATTGATATTCTAGATTTATGTTTTTATTGTTTTATAATTTGAACAAATATGTTTTGTTAATTCACTCCAATATCTCATCTCTAATAGCTACAAGCTTAAATTCAAAGGCCTTTTTAGTCTCCCATTTTTATTCTTTTTGGTTTTTTTTTTTAAATTACATTTTGTTATGATTTCTTTGAGGATGAAGAATTAATGGAAAAAAAAATGTCGCACAATTAAATTCAGAACAAAACTACCAAGTCATGAAAAACGAATTGGGTAAAGTATGATGATTATGTGAGTGCATGAAAAGGATATGAGTAATTAATTTTAATAAGAATTCAAGTTTTGATAGATCAGATGATTAGGTTGGGCTGCTTATATCTTAATTATTCAAATTAGTTCATCCACCCTAAATTGACCTAATTTAATTAAAAATTAGTCTAAACTAACATTGTTAAACCTCATATCTACAATTATACTAGTCATACTTAATTAATGGCGAAGTCAGAATATGAGATAAGATGATCAATTTTTTTTCTCTGATTTGTTTTAGTTGTGTTAATTTAACTTTTATGTAAAGTTTGATATGATGATTTTATTTAATAAATAGATGATAATTGAACAAATTTTTTTTGAACATGATAACTGTTGAATATAATTTTTACTTAAATTAAAAAAATTCAATTGTCATTAATTTATTTATATAAAATCATTAAGTTAATTAAAAAAAGTTAAGAAATTGAGTAACTAAAGAGAACTAGAGGAAGCAACACATGGTTGTAATTAAAGAAATATATTGTCGCATTTGAAATTTTTTGGTGATTAGTGAATAATTATCTAATTGCTTTTGTAAAAAAATATATGGTTAAACACGTAAAAAAATGTAATAAATTTAGGAAAAATATTAAAAATTTATACAGGAAATGAGAAAATAAATTAAACAAATTTGACTCAATTAAAAAATATGAGCTAGTGGTTTTAATATTTGAGCTAAAAAAATAGATATTAACAACTAAAATAAATATTGTAAATTAATTTTAAGCACTACTGATCAAAGGTTTTTCCAAGAAAAGGCAAAGAAATATTAAAAATTTATAGATTTTCTTACCAAATTTTTAGCCAAAAATGTTATAATTAAAAGACATTTTTTATATTTAATAGATTAATCTTAAAGAGTTACTAATTGTTATTTCAACATTCTATCTTGAATTTAATGACAAGATTTACAAAAAGAGTAATGATAATTATTTTAATAAATATTAAAAATAATTAAATGAAAAAATAAAATTCAAGGATAAAATTCTTAAAATACATAATTTAAGGATTAATTTGCAAAATTTTCAAGAGACCAAGTCTCAAAGTGGATCCGCCATTGGTCTTACCTTAGATTCAAGGACAAATAAATTCTCATATGCATAGATTGCATGATGAAATGAGAAAGGACATTGAATGGTATATATTTTAATTCAATATATAATACAACACATTAATTAAAAACTATTACTTTTTATCTAAAATTAAAGGTAAATAAAATTAAAGATATAAACATATATATAATGTAGAAATTGACTAAATTAACTACCTTTATATTATATCTTAATAGATAAATTATAAAAAGTGTTAAAAAATATATTGAATCCAGTGTATATCAATCATTTTTCAATAAGAAAGACACTGATTAGTACACATTCTGATTCAATACATTATACAATACATTCATTAAAAAATTACTATATTTTTTAATATAAAATTAAAGATAAGTAAATTTAAAGATACAGTAATACATATATGATATAAAAATTAGCTGAATCAACTGTATTTATATTATATTTTAACAACTAATCTAGAAGGAATGTCAAAAAGTGTGTTGAAAATACTAGAGATTTCTCCAGTCTTTTTGGAACAGCCTCAAATTCCTCTCCTATCACAGGTAGTATACTGCCGCCTAAAGCAACATTCAATTGTTGGTACTTGAGTCCTGCAGAGTGTGGAGAATATGGGTTTTGTAGTGGGTACAGGGGGCGAGGGCAGTAGCAACACTCGAACTAAACCTTCGAAATGTTTGGCTCGGGAACGGGGAGAGTTGGTGAGTTAGAATGCAAGCGGTTGTGTGGTTGGGAAAAGGCAGGGTATGGTCTCTGAAGAGGTTGTGCCTGACTAGAAGAGCAAGAATGGAGGGTGAGGAATGCTAGTTGTGGAAAAGGTGGAAAATATTCCACCTCCTCGTTTCTGGTTTTTCTTTTTTAGTGTGCTTGTTCAGTGGTTTTGAGGTTCCAAGATCCCCTCAAGCTAATTATTTAGGTAATTATACCATCATAAAACAACAAATCTTGGCAAGACTCTGCGTGAATTGGTTTCAACTCTAAAATATTTCGTTTTTCCTTATTTTCAAGCTTATATATTTGCTAATGAAGTTTCAACTATAAAATAAAATAAAATAAAATAAAAGAAGAAGTTAGAGACTGTAGTAATGTGCACTATTTTCATAAATTAATACATATAGAATTTCAAAAATATTCTCTTTTTTTTTGGCAGATTAATCTGAAAATATACGAATTATTTTTCGAGCCCTTGTAAACCCCTAATCCGTAAACAACAAAAAGAGAGCCATCCAATCCTGCCCTACGTCTCCCTTGCCACCGATGCCACATTCCTAAACCTCATCAGCGTTTCATTTCGCCTCTTCTCCAATCAAATTTCCTTCCGAATTGCATCCAAACTCGACGGAAAGCACAGAAGCGTCTGCTCGGACTAGATGAGAACAACCATTCTCAAGGTTGAAGAGCATTACGGTCTCTAGCATTAAACTCAGCTTATACAGATTTCAAGGTAGTTTTTATTTTTGAAAACTGCTTATTTGCTATTTGAAAAGTATTTTTCGACTTCGTTTACTTTATTGTATAATGGGATTATACGAAGACTCTTGAGTTCTTTATCTAAGTAATTGCTAATTAAGTGTCCTCTGTTTTGATTTCCTAGTTTGATTAGCTAGAAAAGTTCAGAAATATTAACTGCATTTTACTGACATGAAA